CTGTTCATCATGCTGGATAATACCTATTGTTTTGTTTTCCTTCTTGTGCTATTGTTTTATTAGAGTTATGAGCTTTAACTTTTGGGTGTTTTTACATGGATGGGTATCTATTTTGCTATTCGATATATAATGCAGTTCTGAGTATTTCCTGTAGGGCAGGTCTAGTAGTGACAAATTAGCTTCATGTTTGCTTGTCTGGAAAAGTCTTTATTTCTCCATTATTTATGAAACTCAGTTTTGCAGGATACAAAATTCTTGGCTGGCAATTGTTCTATTTAAGAAGACCAAAAATGGGGCCCCAGTTCCTTCTGGCTTGCAATGTCTTTGCTGAGAAGTCCGCTCTTAACCTGATGGGTTTTCCTTTGTGGGTTAGTTGTTGCTTTTGTCTTGAAGCTTGTAGAATTTTCTCCTTCATTTTGACTTTGGCCAGGTTGATGACTATGTGTCTTGGAGATGTCCTACTTGCTGTGAATCTTCCTGGTGTTTGATGACCATCTTGTATCTGGATATCTGAATCTTTGGGGATACCAGGGAAGTTTTCCTCAATAATTCCCTTGAATAGGTTTTCCATGCTTTTTGCTTTATCTTCTTCTCCCTCAGGAATACCTACAATTCTTATATTGGCCCACTTTGCATAGTCCTATACCTCTCTGAGTGATTGTTCATTCTTTATTCTTTTGTCTGTATCTTTGATTGGCTGGGTTAGTTTGAAAGCCTTGTCTTCAAGCTCTGAAATTCTTCTGCTTGGTCTAGCCTGTTTTTGAAGATTTCTGCTATATTTTGAAATCCCCTGAATTTCAATTTCTTTCTTTCAATTTCTTTCATTTCTTTAAGTTCTGTTATATCTTTTATATTGTTTATCTCCTTAATGAGTTTTTCATTTTTTTCATTTTTTTAATTCATGTCCTGAAACATTTTTTTGGCTTCTTTGTGTTGGTTTTCAACTTTGTCTTCAATCCCATTCATCTTATTTGCCATCTATATTCTGAATTCCTTCTCTGACATTTCAGCAATTTCTTTTAGGTTGTGGTCCATTGCTGGAGACGTATTGTGATCCTTTGGAGGTGTTGAAACAGCTTGTTTTTTCATGTTGCCAGAGTTCTTATTCTGGTTCCTTCTCATCTGAAATCTCTTCTCTCAGCTCAAGACAGATAAACTTGTAATACACTTGTTTTCCTCTGCTGGGAACTCTCCTTAAGGCAAAGAAGGGGAGAGGTCCCTGGATGGTACACTTGTGTCCTGCTATGGAGGATTGACCTGGCCCGAGGTGGGCAGATGCACTGTGAACATTTAATACTGTTGCTCTCCTGCCTCACCATTCCCCTGTGGTTGTCACTGGTGGTCCCTGCATTTCAGAGTGAGTGAATGCCCCACCTAGTTCTGTAAGCAGCAGTGATTATTAAGCCTAGCCAGCTTGAGAGCTACTCCACTCAGATCTGTGGCCAGTGGCATTTGTCAGCCTGCACCAGCTTGAGCACAGCCCTGCCCATACCTAAAGCAGGCATCTTTATTGGTGGCAACTGAGCTTAAAGGAATAAAATAGTGACTTGAGCATTTGTTATGTGACAGAAGTACAAAGGACACATTGACATGGATGAAACTAAAAATGTGATTGGTGCCAAGTGAAAAAAGTTGCAGAAGAATACAGAACGTATGATACTATTAACATAAAGTCCATAAACAGGCTGGGTGCAGTGGCTTGCTCCTGTAATCCTAGCACTCTGGGAGGCCGAGGCAGGCGAATTGCTCAAGGTCAGGAGTTCGAAACCAGCCTGAGCAAGAGTGAGACCCTGAGCTGGGCATCATGGTGCAAGCCTGTAGTCCCAGCTACTCGGGAGGCTGAGGCAGGAGGATCGCTTGAGCCCAGGAGTTTGAGGTTGCAGTGAGCTAGGGTGACACTACTATACTCTAGCTGGGGCAACAGAGTGAGACTGTCTCAAAAATAAATAAATAAAACAGAATACTCATAGTTTGTTGGGCTTGGGAATTTAGAGAGAACTGGGTAAGGGTATCCTCTTTCTACTTCTATTTGTTTTATCAGTAGACCCACTGTCTGCTATATAAGAAATCACATCCTCTCAGAACTTACTCTGTGTTGACGTTTCAGTTTATTACAAAACACAAACACTCTTGAAAATATTTATTTACCAGAAAGCGTTCTGGTTTTCAGGTTACCATCAGCAAGTCACAAATCTGCTGTAATATATCTTGTTAAAGCCCTGCTTACTTCAGTCTCTGTGAATTCAAATTAAAGTGAGTGATTGGATTTTGGCATCTGCTGGGAATGAATTTGGCTTCTTTAGTCCCTAATTTGATCATGAGAATTTTATAAAATCATTTTAGAGAATTACAAAATACCTATTACATTGTTCAATTCACCACATGTCATGGCTGGCAAAGGCTCAGGTAATTTAGATGCTTGTAATTTTCTAAATGCTATTATGCTTTTAAACTGCACCCTGGGGTCCAAATCCACATTAACTAACTGACAAAAAATTATAGATAATTTTATTCAAGGCAACACAAAAGGGCAGGATTGTGGCAGGCATAATAAAACATCCCTTAAATAAAGGGATCTGAAATCCCAGAGCACAGGCTCAATTAGGCCAACTATTAATACCACTAGTTAAGGATAGATTTAACCACAGCTAGTTTGTCTGCCACTAGTTAAAGGCTCGTTTAAGAAAAACCATCTGACTGTGTAGCTAGGAGATCTCATGCATATTCAGTAGGAAGGAGCTCATTGAGTCCTTTGGGAGCACACACGTGTGCCCTCCCCCCAACACACACTTGAATTATTGACTCCATGACCCTCCCCACATTGCCAAAGGTGACATGATGCTCAGTAGCAGGTGTTGGTGAAAGAACAAAGAGTATTTCAGGGTTGTCTCTTAAATACTCTTTTAAGAAATTAGGATTATCTATAATACTCTTTCCAGGAATGGAGCAGTGGCTGCTCTCCACCTGAGCTGCATTTTAGACTCATCTGGGGAGGCTGTAAAAATCCTCATACCCTGGATGCACCTCAGACCAATTACATCAAATCTCTGTGGCGACAGCCAGTCCGAAAGCTTTCCTAATTCCGTAGGTGATTCTGATGAGCGAGCACCAAGGTTGAGGAGGACTGTAGTAGCTATTTGGGAAATTGAGCACTTGGCAGAGCATAAGGAGGCATTTTCAAGTTATGCAAATTATTCTGACAAGAAAGAAATACCATTGGGAAAAGAGGAACTGACCACGAATTTCATTGACTAACTCACTCAGTGTCTGATTAATCTATTGCTAGCTCAGCAGTGAGCATTCATTCCATTGTAGCCAATGTGGAAGTGGTTGGAGGTAGAAAAGTTATTTAGCCATTGGTGATGCTTCTGTATCTAAAAGAACACCATTTTGGGGAAGAGGACCTCAGTATATGAAGTTAGTCAGTGAGACTGGCACCCAGTTGATTTCTAAAAGCATTAGGCAAAGACTCAAGGGCATCTGTAGGAAGAAAGCCATTATTTGGCATTTACAAAGTGCAGCAGGTCTGAAAATGGAGCAAGACGAGTCTCCCTTATAGTCAAAGTCCTCTTTGATACACCAAGGGAGGATTTGATGGAAGAGAAGGGGTTGTCATGGATTCAAACATCTTTATACCCCCCAAAGGTGCATTATTAGAAAGTTGAACATCTTTGTTTTCTGACATTGCAGTAAGAATATTTTCAAACATATAGAAATGTTGAAAGAACTGGGCAATAAACACCCACTTATTTGCCTCCAGCAGGAGTCAGTAAATTTTCCCTATAAAAGAGGGAGAGTCAATATTTTAGGCCTCAGGGCCCAAGAGGCAAAATGAGGCAACTGTTCTCACCAAAAGACTAGTAGTCTTTTATACGTGTTACTTAAGAAAAAAAAATCCTGTTAAAGCCATTCTTAGCTTGTGGTTCATGTAAAAATAGGCAGTGGGTCAGATTTGGCCCATGGGCCATAGTTTGCCAACTTCTGACTGAAGGTTCAACTGACATTTCACTGTTGTAGGGGAGGCAAAATATGACCTCTACCTTTTTAGGGATTTTGGCTGGGCCTGAGAATTAAATTGACTTAAGACAGATCAAAAGGAGAAAAACATATAAACCTATCTAATATAAGTTTTACATGACATTGGAGCCCTAATAAGAAAATGGAGGCCTGAAGAGCAATTGGAGTTGAACATTTATATACTGAATTGGACAAAGAGGAGTAAGCTATGCAAGTGTGAGAAGGCCCAGGGGCTTGGGCTAGGACAGTTAGTCGGGTGGAGGAATGGCCAGGAGGATAAGGTTAGTCTAACAACATTTGTTTGTACGGATTTCCCTTGGCCTCGACGTCCCCTCCTTGATAATAATGACACATTCTTTCTAGTATAGGAAGGGCATCTTTCACGTGGGAATTTCATCTTCTGCCTTTAAGAAATAATGAAGGTCAGAGTGATACTCTTGTACTTGTTGTTTCTCAGATTCCTTTAACTCAACATAGTTTGCCACAGTGGCATGTTTTGGGGTCACTTATTCTTCACTCCTTCACTCTCTGTGCTTGGTCACGTAGCTGGCCAGCTCGCCATCTCTTTGTTTTGGATATATTTCAAGAGTTAAGAGTTAGCAATTAAGATCAATAGGTATATGTCTCTTCTCAGTACAACAAAGGGTAAAGTGAACAGGATAACATGCCGTAAATAAAATGAGACCTTGATAATGATTTAATGATTTCAGGCCTCTTTATCATCATTTTTTCTTTAAGTATCCTTTTTTTTTACCATGTATTGAATTTTAATGTTTTTGTTAATATAATATAAAGTTATATATTAATATAAAATTCTGTTAATACAATATAAAATTACAGATAAATTAAAAAGTGGAACTGTCCTTTCTTCCATGTGATTTAGTGAATCTAAACTTTTAACATGCCTCTCAGAGGAATTGCAGCTATTTTCCTAGCCATGGATCGAAGCAGTTCATTCCCTCTCGTTCTCCATCCTGTTTCAGATAAAGACTATTTTGAGTGGCTTTATCATCAGGGGCTACCTGGGGAAGTGGACTCTGCTAATCAAGACGGTCACCCTGGTGCTGGTAGTGTCCTCCGGCCTGAGCCTTGGGAAAGAAGGGCCGCTGGTGCACGTGGCCTGTTGCTGCGGCAACTTCTTCAGCAGCCTTTTCTCCAAGTACAGCAAGAACGAGGGCAAGAGGCGCGAGGTGAGCTGGCTCAGCTTCCATGTGCAGTGGAGCTTTCTTCCCACAGCCCCCTTCTCCCATGTCACCTGCACATGCTGGCACATGTTTGTTTTCATGGAAGGCCTTGGAGCTTACCTAGAACTATTTGCCTTGTAGGTGCTGTCAGCTGCAGCAGCTGCTGGAGTCTCCGTCGCCTTTGGTGCGCCGATTGGGGGTGTGCTTTTCAGTCTAGAAGAGGTGAGACTGGGCAGCTGAGGGAACATGTGGGTGGCTGGCATAGAAGTAAGCTTACATCTCCTGCCTTTTGAGGATTAGAGTCAAAGAAGTATTGAATAAGGTCCCTATGGTTAGTTAAGGAGCCACAATTTCCACTGTTAGAGATCTGTTTTCTTTTTTGTTGTTTTTGAGATGGGGTCTCCCTGTGTTGCCTTGGCTGGTCTCAAACTCCTGGCTTCAAGCACTCCTCCTGCCTCAGCCTCCCGAGTTGCTGGGCGTACAGGCATGGGCCACCATGCCCAGCTATATCTGTTTTCAAATATTGTTTTAAAAATTTCCAATATAGCTTTTGGGGAAGATTTCCAGTATCCCTTCTCTTTTTCATAACCAACTTAATTAAGCATTTTTGGTTTTGGTAATGCAGGTGGATCATTCTAGGGGTTGACAAACATTTTCTAAAGGGCCAGGTAGTAAATGTTTTAGGTCCTGTGGGCCACGCAATTTCTGTTACAACCATTCAGCTCTACCATTGTAGTATGAAAGCAGCCATGGACAACATGTATGTGAATGGGTGTGGCCTGTGTTCCCATAGAACTTTCCTTATGGACATTGAAACTTGAATTTTATATAGTTTTTACATATTACAAAGTATTATGGTTCTTTTGAATATATCAAGTCAAAAGAATTTTTTCCAACCATTTAAAAATGTAAAAAGAAACATTCTTAACTCATCATGCTGTAAAAATACATTTGCTGGGCTGGAATTGACCTGCAGGCCAGAGTTTTGAAACCCCTGATCTATTCTATTGTCTGTAGAATCAAATCCAGAGGTTTATTTGCTTTTAGAAGAGTCTGTGCCATGAACAGAATTATGATTACATATTTTTATTCCTCTTAAAAGCATAGCTCAAACCTACCTTGATTAGTATCTATTCTACTTCTAGGCATAGATTCCTTTAAATATCTTTGTTGGTGCATCTTGGTCATATTAAACCCAGGCTGAAGGAGTTGGTGTGTCCACTCTTGGTCTCACAATGTGTCTTTCATGCCAAGTGCCAGTAGGTGGCTGCCGACCCAAGGGGGCTGGGCTCCGAGTAGCTCTTTTTCTGGCCAGCCTCTCATTTTCTACTTGTTTGTCCCAGGTCAGTTACTACTTTCCCTTGAAGACCTTATGGAGGTCATTTTTTGCGGCCTTGGTGGCGGCCTTTACACTGCGATCCATCAATCCCTTTGGGAATAGCCGCCTTGTTCTCTTTTACGTGGAATATCACACGCCCTGGTACATGGCTGAACTCTTCCCCTTCATCCTGCTTGGAGTCTTCGGAGGCTTGTGGGGAACCCTCTTCATCCGCTGCAACATTGCCTGGTGCAGAAGGCGCAAGACCACCAGGCTGGGGAAGTACCCGGTGCTGGAGGTCATCGCGGTGACCGCCATTACCGCCATCATCGCCTACCCCAATCCCTACACGCGCCAGAGCACCAGCGAGCTCATTTCCGAGCTGTTCAATGACTGTGGGGCCCTTGAGTCCTCCCAGCTCTGTGACTACATCAACGACCCCAACATGACCCGGCCTGTGGATGACATTCCAGACCGGCCAGCCGGAGTTGGGGTTTACACAGCCATGTGGCAGCTGGCCTTGGCACTGATCTTCAAAATCGTTGTTACCATATTTACCTTTGGCATGAAGGTAAGTGAAAGGGAAGGAAGATGGGGTCGGGACCCATGTCCTTCTGGGCACAGCACCTACTATCCAAAATAAAATTGTGATGGGAAAAAAAGGAGAACTGACCTTTCTTGGATGTTCTCATGTGCTGGGCACTTGGCATTCTTTTAGCTAACAGGAAACAACTCTTTTAATAAACAGTAAGCTTATGAAATAGAGGTTGATCAGACCCACAGCCCATGGGAGACAGAGCTGGCATCAACCCCACTTCGTAGCCACAGGTTTGCCTTCTGGCTGGGTGAAGCCGGGTGGTGGAAACAGCCCAGGTTTGGCCCAGTTTGGATCTGTAACGTGTGCTGAGCATCTGCTGTACCTTAGGCACTGTGCTAAGTCTGAGGGATTTAGAATCCAAGAGAGAATCCTACCCTTCAAGAGCTTTCTTTTATGGAAACTGGCGTTAAGTTATTTGCTTTTTTAAAAAAGTTGAGGTAAAATTCACAAAACATAAAATTGAGCATTTTAAAGTGTACAGTTCAGTGGCATTACCTACAATTATAATGTTGTGTAGCCAGTACCTCTATCTAGTGTCAGAACTTTCTCATCCCCCCAAAAAGGAGATCATTCCCCATGAGCAGTCACTTGCCTTCTCCCCAACCCCAGCCCCTAAGAACCACTAATCTGCTCTGTTTCTATGGATTTGCCCATTTTGGATACTTCACATAAATAGAATCATGTAATGTGTGGCCTTTTGGGACTTGCTTGTATTCATAGCACAATGTTTTCAGTGTTCATCCACATTGTAGCATGTGTGAGTACTTCATTTTCATGACTCAATAGTATGTCATTCTGTGGCTGTCTCCCACTTTGTTTACCCACTCATCCTTTGATGACATTTGGGTTATTTCTACCTTTTGGCTATTATTAATAGTGCCAGTATTGATTACTTCCAAAAACTTTAGAGTATATCATTCATGGAGACATGTGTACAGCTCAATGAATTTGAGCAAAACACACACGCTTGTGTAACCAGCACCCAGGACCAGAAGCAGAACATTGCCCACCCCCAGAGCCCCCTGTTGTGTTCCATTCCTGTTACTTTGGTGTGATATTTCTATTAATTTCCTCTTTTAAGAAAGTCTAAGAAATGGTGCACCTGAGTGTGTAGTGGCCAAACACAAACCTGAATTTGTGCCTCAAGAACAAGATGTGTGGACTTACGAAACAGTTCACTGTCTCTGACCCATCATCTCCTAGCAGAGGGATTTATTCTTGTGTCCAAGGAAGATGCTAGTAGCATCTTTTGGTGCTTGCTGAGGAAAGTCTACTTTGGAGTTACAGGGGTTTAAATGACTGTGGAATGAGGAGAAACTCAGAAAGAAACAATGTCCTAAGGAATGTTCTAAACTCTAGAAATCACACGCGAGGATGTAAATTTAACTAGAATTAGGCTAAAGGTCTACTGCCACCCTCAGATGGGTGACCAGGTGGGCAGGGGTAAGGGAAGCTGCTCAGCATCAGTGGCCACAGGTAATTTCAGTGAACAAGGGCCTCGGGCGTGTTCTACAGCACACGCATCGTCACTAGATAAACAAAAATGTATTTTCATTCAGCAAAGTAGAAAACACGCTACTACCAAGATCTTTTAGTTTGCATTGTCTATTTCTTTGCTTCCCCTACCCTGGCTTGAAAATATTTCTTGGGAAATGCACTTTGTTAGGAAGAGGGAATTGCCTCCCTCGTCTCTCTCTGATAGGTGTTCCGCCCCCACCTACTACAGAGGGCAGGGAGCCCTTGAAGAGCTTTCTGCAAGATCCAGGGCAGCTGCGGTGACACATTCAGCTTCTTTATTTTACCTGGGAGCAGTCTCAGGTCCTTCTTTTCCATTTCATGCTGTGGCTTGACATTTAATTTTAAAAGCCAGTCTGAATGACACGGCAAGGGGAGAGAGAAAGTGGTGTCTCAAGTGACAGATACTCACTTTGAATGTGATTTGCAGTGGGGCTTATCATTCTTTAATCCACAGCAGGCAGACGGGCCAGCTTTTGAAGGAGAGGGAATGAAACTGTAAAATTGCATTCTCTCCAACTTGCAGTATATACAACTGACTAAGCAGGTCAGATCACTTGTCCTACCTTTTCCCAGCTGACCTATTTTGCAGAGTTGTGCCCATCCTTTGAAGACCGATGCAAAATGCAAGCTTGTCGAGGGGGACTGTGCTTCCCGGGGCTTGTGAAGCAGGAACCTGGCCTCCGTCCCTCACACTGCTTTTCTCTGTGTGCCTCAAGATCCCGTCAGGCCTCTTCATCCCCAGCATGGCTGTGGGAGCGATGGCGGGCAGGATGGTGGGAATCGGCGTGGAGCAGCTGGCTTACCATCACCACGACTGGATCATCTTCAGGAACTGGTGCAGACCTGGGGCAGACTGTGTCACGCCAGGACTCTATGCCATGGTGGGAGCCGCAGCCTGCCTAGGTATGACCACAGGTGGGGCCAGGGAGGCGGTGGGGGATGCTGATCTGGCTCAGAGGACTGGGAAGAAGGAACTTGAATTTGAACATTTGCATTACTCAGGATAGGCTAGGTTGCACTGCTGCTGTAACAAGTAGACCCCTAAATCTCAGTGGCTTAACACACCAAGGCTTATAGCCTGTTTTTTCTCTCTGTCTTTCTCTCTTTCTCTCTCTCTCTCTATATATAATATATGTAATTATTAAGTATGAAATGTCCTATTTCCTTAAGTACCAAGTTTGACAGTTATGTCTGACATTTCCCTTTGACACTTCTTATTTTGTTTTTATTGTGAAGGTACATCCTCATTATTTCAGATGCACAGTTTGGCTTGTGATTATCTTTCAAAAAATTTTTTTAGAGCCATTTTTGTGAAACCATGAATAAGTCAAAAATTTGTGTTATTTTTAAATATGAGTTCCATCTTAGAACTAAAGATGTGCAGACAGCCCAAAATATCAATGAAGTGTTTGGGAAGGATGTGGCTACTGAATGCACAGTATGTTGATCATTTGAGAAGTTCTGTTCAGGTGATTTTAATCTTGAAAATGAGCCATGTGGGTGACCTGAGACCAAGGTGGATAATGATGAGCTGAAAGCTGTAGTGGAAGCGAATCCATCTCAACCTACATGTGAATTAGCAGCAAGGTTTGACATTACTATTCCAGCAATATTGGACCATTTAAAACAAATCAGCAAGGTAAAGAAGCTGGATAGATGGGTACCTCATGAATTAAACAAGCGTCACAAGAGAAATTGTCTTGAAGCTTGCCTTTCTTTGCTGCCATGACATAAAGGCCAACCATTCCTACACCATAGTGTTACATATGATGAAAAATGGACAATCACAAGCATTTGGCACAATGGCTGGATAAAGAGGAAGTGCTGAAACATAGTCCAAAACTGAACATTCATCAAAAAAAGCTAATGATGTCTGTGTGGTGGTCCAGCGCTGGTGTTATCCACTACAGCTTCATGAAACCTGGTCAGTCGATTACAGTGTATGTCTCCTGCAACCAATTGGATGCTTGTGATTAAGCAGCCAAGATTGGTCAATAGAGACAGGCTAATCCTCTTGCAAGACAATACTCGACCACATGTCACGCAAACAACGCTGCTCAAACTACAGAAGCTGGACTTAAAAAGTCTCTGTCATCCACCGTATTCACCAGACCTTGCACCAACTGACTACCACTTCTTCCAGGCTTTGGATCACTTCTTGCAAGGAAAAATACTCAATTCTCAACAAGCTGTGGAGAATGCCTTTCATGATTTCATCACCACTCACTCTCCAGGCTTCTGTTAAGATGGCAAAATTGTATTGACAGTTTAGGCACATACTTTGATTAATTGTACTTCTTGTTGTTTGAGATATAATAAACTAAACTTTTGATTTGCAATTGGACATTTCACATTTAATGACATATATATAGAGAGAGGTGCTCCTGGACTTACAGTGGGGTTACAGCATGATAAATCCATTGTAAGTTGAAAATATACAAAGTAAAAAATGCATCAAATACATCTAACCTACCAAACACCATAACTTAGCCCAGCCTACCTTAAATGTGCTTGCAATACTTACATTAGCCTATAGTTGGGCACAATCACCTAACACAAAGCCTTTTATATTACAGTATTGAATATCTCATGTCATCTGTCAAATACTGTACTGAAAGTAAAAACCAGAATGGTTGTATGGGTGCTTGAAGTAAGGTTTCTACTGAATGTGTATGGCTTTTGCACCATCATAAAGTCCAAAAATTGTAGGTTGAACCGTTGTAAGTCAGGGGCTGTCTGTAAATAAAGAACATGGATTAGCAGAAGGCTCTTCTCCACCCATTCAGGGACACAAAGGTGGGTCCCTCTCCTGTCTATAGTTCTAAGCATCCCTATAATTTTCCAGAGTGTAGGGTTTTGGGAAAGCGCCATGCTTGCTTATTCAGAAGCCTGCAGAACCCACGTAGGATCTACTTGCCAAAAAGCAAGGCGTGTGGCCTGGGGGAATAGACAGCCCAAGTGCCTCACTGGAGCAGAGCCCCCAGTCACATGCGACTTACAGCTCCCTCACTCAAAGCCGCATTTAGCAGAGCCTGGCCACAGTTCCAGAGGCCCAGCGCGGTCAGCATGTGGGAACATCTCCTTGGAACCAGCGTGAGGAGAATTTACAGCCTGCCTGTCAGTGTCCTTAAATCCTGCCCTCCTGAGGGGCGGGGGTTGTGTTTCAGAATCCCACTGCTCTCTTCCCTTGCAGGTGGAGTTACCAGGATGACGGTGTCATTGGTGGTCATCATGTTTGAATTAACGGGTGGTCTGGAGTACATTGTGCCCCTGATGGCGGCGGCCGTGACCAGCAAGTGGGTGGCGGATGCCTTTGGGAAAGAAGGTATCTACGAGGCCCACATCCACTTAAACGGGTACCCATTTCTCGACGTGAAGGACGAGTTCACGCACCGCACGCTGGCCACCGACGTCATGCGGCCCCGGCGGGGAGAGCCGCCGCTGTCGGTGCTCACCCAGGACAGCATGACAGTTGAAGACGTAGAGACGCTCATCAAGGAGACCGACTACAACGGCTTCCCCGTGGTGGTCTCCAGAGACTCCGAGCGCCTCATCGGGTTTGCGCAGAGGAGGGAGCTCATCCTTGCGATAAGTGAGTAAAGAGTGGGGTGCTCAGGCTTTCCTAAGAGTCGAGTGGCAGCCTTTGTACCCCTGAAATCACCCAAGAGGTTCACGAGAATGTACATCAAGCTTTAATGTATCTGTGCCGGGTCTGGTTAAAGTGCAGGTTCTGGTTGATCAGGCCTGGACTGGGACCTGAGACCCTGCGTTTCTCACGAGCTCCCCACGTGTGCTGGTGCCGCTAGTCCCCAAGTCACACCAAGGGACAGGGTTTAACCAAGTCTTGGAGTAGACATTGTTGGCTGGAAAGTGACTGCATATTTGCAAGCAGCCGCCTGGGCCCCACTCCCTCTAGGACAGTGGTCCCCAACCCTTTTGGTACCAGGGACCGTTTTCGTGGAAGGTAATTTTTCTACACACTGGGGGTGGAGGGGTTGGTTTTGGGATGGTTCAGGCACATTGCATTTATTGTGCATGTTATTTCTATTATTATTACATTGTAATATATAATGAAATAATTATACAACTCACCGTAGATTGGGGACTCCTGACCTAGGAGGTGAGCTGCTGCCACTGCCTATTTAGGGAATTATTATACGAAGCTAAGAAGGGAGAGACGGTGTGAGACCCTGGAGTTGCCTGGGCTCAGAGTTGCCGGTCTCAGAGAGACTTTCAGGCAGACTAACCAACTGGCCGAGATTGCCAGGCTCTGCCCAGACAATCCCTTGCCACCGTGCAGGTCTTTTGCTTCACTTTCTGACATCATGTCTGATTCTGCCAGTTAGAGGCCCGTGTGGGTGAATGAGAAGTCATCATTAGAAGTCAGTAGCAGGTGACGACTTCCTTCCTTGTGTCTGAACTACAGCTAGCTGCATGGGGACAGCTGTTGAGTTGCGGGAGGAGAGAAGGAAATGCTACCCAGGTGGGAGATCCTAAAGACAGGTGGCTCAGAGAAGCAAGCCTGCGGGTCCCATCAGCCTAGGGATGGCTGCCCTGCCTTGAAGGGTAGCAGCGGGAGGTAGGAGGATTCCAAAGACAGAGGGGCTGAGGGCCAGAGGCCTGGGTGTGAGTCTCGAGAGCCCCAGGCAAGGAGGAGCAGTGATCCTCAGAGGGTGAGATCCCGCTGGACCTCAAGATGCAGCAGGGGCAGGGACTGGCAGAGCCCATCCTCTGGCACATGGCAGACGCAAATGCCACCCCGCTCTGCATCCTTGTTCCGCGATCTTCACGACATCCCAGCATCCAGTGGCAGACCAGGGCCTATGGCATGGCTCGTGCATGCATGTGACGATTTTGCTATACATTCCATCTTCCAGAGTATTCATGAAGCTTGTCAGTGGGACCTTCCCCAGTCTGATTGTGGAATGCCCCACATGAACACATCTTCAGCAGACAGCTGCTTGCTTCTTCCTGCTCTTTGTTTCTCATTTTTAAGGCACCTTCCTTCAATTTCTAAAACCTCTTGCCAATGTTAAATAGCTTTCAAAATATCTTTAAAGTATCTTGATCAAAGGCTTTATAAGTTTAGATAAGCTATGTTCTCCAATTTTAGCTTGACACTTATTTTTACCTCCTCCAAAGCAAAATTGATTTAATATTTTAGACACCATAGCAAGTTTGTGTTCAAGTGTTTAGTGATACTTCTTTTTATTGTAGGGCCTGTTGCTTAACAGGTAGGTGCCTTTAGGTGTAATTATTGCCTTAATAAATAGTGAGTTTTTTTAAGTTGTTTAAGTAGGGTTAGGTTTGTTTTAAAATAGTGTAATCAGCAGCCTTTAAAAAATTTATTCAATCCCTAGAATCTTTTAAGCAAAGGTTGAAATTTAAAAACTAACGGAATAAATGTCACAGAATCCATTATCTATTGTATAGCTCCAGGCACACCTGCTAAGAGCTTACTAATTTTGCTGAAACCCATTACTGTAATCAAGTGGGAAGCAGTAATTGTCATCAACTGGTTAGAGAAGAAATTGAAGCTTGCCAGCCGAGCACTCTCCCAGAAGCTATGTTTGGAATGTCTGAAGAGGCACCACACAGTGTAAATAATACCCATATACTTTCAATCAGACCGACAATAGTATAGAAGCTGCTATTTATGTGGTTTGTAGAAAGGCAAGGAGTGTTTTGCTCTGAGGAATCAAAAAAGCTGTTTTCCTGGTCTGTGGAAATAGAAGGGTCCTTGTACTCTGGTGGAGAAATTCATGACTTGCATTTGAGGAATTTTATGCCATTTTATGAATATAGAAAAATGACAGCATTTAGCTAGAAACTATCCCATGCCAATTTCACTTTTTAAGGGAACTAGAAGCAAAGATTATAAATAGAGCCAAGATAGTGTGGATAAGAAAAGAATGGTAAGTGAGGTAAATAAAGATTTTTCATACACATCATGTTTAAAATTGCAGCAGCTGCTCACATGAAGCTGAAAATGTTTTATTTTCAATCCATCTCTGGAATGTCAAAACATAGCCATTGTCTTCGTTAAAGAGCCCCACCTAGGCAGTGCGGCCCTCTTAGCTATCACAGATAGCACGTGGGGTTCCTGGTTCCCAGTGAATGGGCGCTCACCTACCTTGCTCTTTGCAAATGTGAGGGTCCTTCTGTACTCAGCAGGGCCCAGGCTCTTGTTTTAAGTTCTGCAGTCAAGCCAGTAGAGGTTCAGAGAGGACTCAGTGGAGAGCTGCAGAGATGATTAAAGGAAGGCAAGTTAGAGTTTCAGGGAAGAGTTAAGGGAACTCACAGGTGGTTTTTTGTCTGGCGGATGACTTAATAATGATTCTCCAGCATGTGGAAGATGCTTACTTGCAGAAAGGGATCTACAACCAAGACTGAACATGAAGAAAAGTGTCAGTTCTGTCAGATGAGCTATTTAGGGACTAAGAAGTTTCTGCCTGGGAGGGCTGTTAATTACTGGACTAGGTCATGGAGAACAGTGGTGTCATCTGTTTTATTCTGCTGGGGATGTTAAAATATATGTAAATATATATGCAGAGGGACTTCCCCATGCTTTAGTAGACAATAACTTGTCATAAAATAGTCTGCTCTTTCTTCTATATAGTCTTTACTTTTTAATTATATTATCTTTGTATTAACCACTATTATGATTGCTTCCAACTTTCCATTTTAACTTTTCTCGTTTACTACATCTGTCTTACAGAAGCATTTTTAGTTAACAGGATAATGGAGTATTACCTCCATAAAGACACAATTACTCTAAAGTAGGAATTCTCAACCTCAGCACTGTTAACATTTTGGGCTGGAGCATTCTTTGTGGTGAGGCTGTCCTGTACACTATAGGGTGTTGAGCAGCATCCCTTTGTCCCACCCACTAGATGTCAGGAGCACTTGCCCTTCCCTACTGGGACAACCAAAATGTCTCCAGACATTGCCAAATGCCCCCCCAAGGGTGGGGGCAGAATTGCTCCCAGTTGAGAACCATTGCTCTAAAGCTACTCAGTAGCTTATAGGATATGTGATGATTTCCAATCTTTTAAAATGTCTTGGCCTATCATAGTTTGTGAAATTCCTCTTACCAACACTTTATTAATTATCATCTCTGTATTTGGCATTATGAATGTATGACTGCTAGGAAGTGAAATGTCAAGTTGAATAACCTTAGCAGGTGCTCACAAAATCTACATTATTTTTCAGCAGCTGTGGCCACGGAGACCAGTTATAGTAGAATATATGACAAACCTCCTATATTAAAGACAGTTTTAAAAACAGTTTAACTACTTGTAAAACATTTAAAAGTGAAGTTTATTACATTTTTTTAAAGTAAAAGTAATACACACTCATAGAATATTGGGGAAATCAGAAGCAAAAGGAAAAATAAAAAAAGCACCCACATTCTCATCAACATAGAAGGCCATGGTTAATATTTAGTGCATTTCCTTTTTGTCTTTTAAAAAGGTAGATTTGGGGCTGTATTGTTTTGGTTTCTTTTCCAACACAGGCTTCCAAGTGTTCCTGCAGTCTGTGAGTCTGTTCTTTCACAGTACTGGCTCATTCCATGGGTGAGGAGTTATTTGGTTTATTCTTTCATACAACAAGTATTTCTTCAGCATTTACCATGTACTGGTGCCATCCTAGGAGCTGGGAGCCCAGGGATGACAGTATACTATCTCTGCCCTCTGTGAACTTATCTGCAGTAGTTTTGTTGCAGGCATTTTAGTGACTGATGAAGATTTCTGGTCCAAACTGGGAATAGATGGTTCACCCTAGTAGAGAGTTGCAAATAGCTTTCTTGCTGGTTCATCTTCCATTCATCAGCTTTTGGCTTGTACATAGCACCTCCACTTCCAAAGTTTAAAGCCTTAATGTATGTCTTTGCAGTAAGAGTTCTAAAGTGGCCTAGCAGAGCCCCTCTGAAGAGAGCAGCAGTTGCCAGGAGCAACAACTCAGATCTGTAGCTCTAATCTCAGCTGATGGCTATGGTTCTTGCTTGGCAGTGAATAGCTCATGGGGCCTTCTGTCCTAATGCCTAAGTGAAATAGGCTCTCTGTTCTACATGGCAGACAGAACCAGATATGCTGACATTTAGTAGACCTACTCATTCATTCATTCATTCATGTGTGTATTTGCAAATATCTGTTTTGTGTCTGTTGGGTGCTAGGCATTGTCCAGGCAGTGGGAATGCACTGGTGAGCAAGAGTTCATTGAGCTAGTGGTGGTTAGAATCAGGGCTAACCTAACCAGTAGGTTGGGGGGGGCGGTACAAGCTTGTTATTTATTTAGCAAGTGGATTGATGGTTTACTAAGTTGTATTTGGTTTTATAAGGGTTTCAGCAAATCCATGTGTTCAGTTCTTGATTAGAGTTTGAGATGATCCCATCTTGACATGCAATCTGATTGTTGAAATGAATGGAAATCCTATTACATGGGACTTTAAGAGAATTAATCGGTCTATGAAAATGAGCAAATAAGTATGTGTTGACTGTTGCCTCCCTGCCTTAGTGCTCAAGGACAGAACCATCTTGGTTTAGAAGTGTACAGTGTGTATCATGCAGAATCCACATTTGAAAACATGATGTGCATCAGTGTCGTCTGGTATTTGTGGTTGAATCATATCCCATTTGATGTAAGTGGATTTAACCTGACCCATACAATGTGCACATTTGCCCAGCAGGCCCTCCGTTCCTCTCTTAAACAGAGACCCTTTTTCAGACTCAGCCTGACCCCAAATGCCACCAGTTTTCCATTAGAGGACTCTATTGCACTTAACGGCCTTAGAGGCGGCGGTTAGAATTTTATTTTTGAAAGAACGATATAGGTGAATAGTAGTCTTTGAGAAGGCAAGAAATGTATTATAGAAACCAGGATCCATTTTAAGGCAAGCTTTGCTGTACATTTTTCCTAACCTTTTCCCATGAACCAAAAGAAAGATTAAAATTCCAACAGAAGGAAAATCGCCTTGGAGAAATATCTTGAGACCGATGGATTTATTTCACGTGTGACTTAAAATAGCCTGGGTTTCTAGCACTGTGCTAAGCTGTATTTCTAATGAGTTCCTGTTACCCTACTTTTTTCAGCTTTCTTTCACACGGCCTTTTCGACAGACAGAAATAGGCTAATTGCTACCATAACAGTTTTACTATCTTTCTTTGAGACATCCACAAAATGGCCCATTTTTAAGGCGGGAGATCCTGGGAGTGGGGGTGCAGCTTTTCTGGGGTTGTTTCTTCACTCTCGAGGATCATATTCGGAATCAAGCTGCATTTCTGGGCTGTGAGCCGGGGCTGGTCGTATTGGTTTCTTCTTCCTCTCAGGATTCATAATACCATTCGGGCCAGTTAGAAGTTAGTTTGTAAAAAGAAAAACAATGGATTAGGGTCACTGAGCAGCTAAGTGGGTTTCTTGTCACGTCAGACTCCAGCCTGTGATGAGGTGATAAGGTGAAAGAGTGTTAGGAGGCCCTGGGCTGCTTGGGTGCTCTGGAGTCCGGGTGAAGCAGGGAGGGGCCCCAAAGGACCATCTTGCTCAGGCCCACCTTGCAAGACTTAGCAACACATGATCTTGCCACAGCAGGGGGACTCTTGCACGGCATTAGCTGAAGACAGATGCCAATTTCACAGATGTTCGGCTGAAGCCCCTCATTAAGAATGTGTGGTTTGTCCTCTGAACCCCTCTTCTGTGGGATTCTAGATGCTGTGTGGGGGGTTGGGAGGGAGTTGCTCAGCAAGGGACTTTGTGTGGCTCATTGTTCCTGCTCACCCTGTTCTAGAGAACGCCAGACAGAGGCAGGAGGGCATCGTGAGCAATTCCATCATGTACTTCACGGAGGAGCCCCCCGAGCTGCCGGCCAACAGCCCGCACCCCCTGAAGCTCCGGCGCATCCTGAACCTCAGCCCTTTCACGGTGACAGACCACACCCCCATGGAGACGGTGGTGGACATCTTCCGGAAGCTGGGGCTCCGGCAGTGCCTGGTGACGCGGAGCGGGTGAGTAGCTGGGCAGTGTGGCTAGAATGTGTCCTGTGGCGACTCTGGGGAGAAAAAGACAAAGAAGACACGGTCTTAGCCTTTGAGGAGCTTGAGGTCTGCTGGGCGGACCAATCCTTGACAAATGATGTCAGTAAGTTGTGGTGAATGTGTCGAGAAGGAATATACAGGAAGCTTTGGACCAAAAGCATGGCAGCGGTGCAGCCTGGGAAAGGGGAGAGGCTTCCATGCTGGACTGCTGTCTGGGCCGGGACACTTGAGTCAAAAGAGGGGGCCAGAGAAAGGCTTGGCATTTCTTTCCTCCATCCAGATGGTACTTGGCTCAGGGAGAAGATACAGCCAGTCTTCCTATAACATGCTACATGCATTCCTCAAAATCACAGCACTGTACAAAAATGAGCAATGCAAACCACAGGACTTCTGGGAAAAATAGGATTAAGTGCACAACACTCAAAAACTTCCTCAGTGTTACATTTCAAAAAGAGATGGGACCCTAATAAGAATGGTAGTGCCATTTTACACATGCTAAATGGTTAAGAAATACATGAACACAGCCGGGCGCGGTGGCTCACGCCTGTAATCCTAGCTCTCTGGGAGGCTGAGGCGGGTGGATTGCTCGAGGTCGGGAGTTTGAAACCAGCCTGAGCAAGAGCGAGACCCCGTCTCTACTATAAATAGAAAGAAACTAATTGGCCAACTAATATATATAAAAAAAATTAGCCGGGCATGGTGGCGAATGCCTGTAGTCCCAGCTACTTGGGAGGCTGAGGCAGTAGGATCGCTTGAGCCCAGGAGTTTGAGGTTGCTGTGAGCTAGGCTGACGCCATGGCACTCACTCTAGCCTAGGCAACAAAACGAGACTCTGTCTCAAAAAAAAAAAAAAAAAAAAAAGAAATACATGAACACAACAATAAATATATCACTTTATCTTGAAAAGGCCCAAGGTTGGCTGTGGAGTGGGCATGAGCAGAGCTGCAGTATGGGAGTTACGGGGAAGGGCTGGAAGGAGGGTTATCTGAAAACGGAGGGGAAGTTGTCACTGCAGGTGTAGACGGATGTGGCTGCTCACACACGTGTGAACGGAGGGAGCTCGTGGATGTTTGGGGGTGTGCATGTGTCCATTTTGTGTATTCCAATGCCACTGGGTTCTCCTGGGTGCAGTTTTCTGCATTCACCTAGAGTTTCTTATGGATAAAATGCATAAGCAAAGGTGAAACTCATGTTTAGTTCATAATGTTCCTTAATATAGCAATCTTTTTGAAACAACTTTATGTTTTCTAAACAAACACTATTGGAGAACTGAGAGACTTTTTTTCTTTTGAAGCAGAGTCTCGCTCTGTTGCCCCGGCTAGAGTGCAGTGGTGTCATCATAGCTCACTGCAACCTCAAACTCCTGGGCTCAAGTGATCCTCCTGCCTCAGCCTCCTGAGTAGCTGCGACTACAGGCGCATGCATGCACAGCACGCCCAGCTAATTTTTTCTATTTTTAGTACAGACAGGGTCTTGCTCTTGCTCAGGCTGATCTTGAACTCCTGACTTAAGTGATCCTCCCGCCTTGGCCTCCTAGAGTATTAGGATTATAGGCATGAGCCACCGCACCCAGCCGAAAACTGAGAGATTTGATGACCCCACGGTATTGTCTGTACTGCCACTATATTCCTTATGCTTTGTGTTATCATAAACTAAGAAACCAGCAATGCAATGATCAAGGGTCTACGACAGCACCAGCGTGCAGGTCCCTGAAGGCCATTCTTTGGGCTCTGAGGCATGTCCCAAGTTCCACAACCTCAGAAGCTCGGGTATTGGCTCAGTCAGGGTACCCTGGAACCTAGAGTTATCTGCTCATGTTTTTCTTTATGTGTTGGGGGTAGGAGATGGGGAATGGGTTTTGGGAACATTGATAACCCATACAGTTTAGGCCTTTATAGACTCCAGAGGCTTAACTATCTAACATCGTTCACATTTCTAGAGCCAGCAGCCAGCACACTATAGTTAAACCAGTGGTTTTCTTTTTTTTTTTTTTTTGCCTTATTGCACTGACGAGAATTTCCAGTACTATTTTGAATAAGAGTAATAAGAGCAGGCATCCTTGCTTTGTTTCCAATCTTAGGAGGAAAGCATTCAGTCTTTCACCACCTGATTGAAAACCACTGGTTTAACTATAGTGTGCGGCTGCTGGCTCTAGAAATGTGAACGATTTAGATAGTTAAGCTCTGGAGTCTATAAAGCCTAAACTGTATGGGTTATCAATGTTCCAAAACCCATTCCCCATCTCCTACCCCAACACATAAAGAAAAACATGAGCAGATAATCTAGGTTCCAGGGTACCTGACTGAGCCATACCCAAGCTTCTGAGGGCTGTGGAACTTGGGACATGCCTCAGAGCCAAAGAATGGCCTTCAGGGACCTGCACACTGGTGCTGTCGTGGACCCTTGATCATTGCATTGCTGGTTCCCTAGTTTATGATAACACAAGCACTAAGGAATATAGTGGCAGTACAGACAATCCGTGGGGTCATAAATCTCAGTTTTCGGCTGGGTGCGGTGGCTCATGCCTATAATCCTAATACTCTAGGAGGCCAGAGCGGAGATCACTTAAGTCAGGAGTTCGAGATCAGCCTGAGCAAGAGCAAGACCTGTCTGTACTAAAAATAGAAAAATTAGCTGGGCGTGCTGTGCATGCATGCGCCTGTAGTCCCAGCTACTCAGGAGGCTGAGGCAGGAGATCACTTGAGCCCAGGAGTTTGAGGTTGCAGTGAGCTATGATGACACCACTGCACTCTAGCGGGCAACAGAGCGAGCTCTGCTTCAAATAAAAAAAGTCTCTCAGTTCTATCTCCCC